CTGACCACAGAAGAATCTCTCCCCACCACCATAATGACTTGGGGTTGTGGGATCATCAGATAAACCCAAGTAGGAGAATGAATAGTTGTTTAAGGGTGCTCAGGAAAAGCAGCAGCTCGGAGGACAGGCCATCAGAAAGATCTTCCCTGCTCCACGTTTCCAAAGCCAGCTGAAACTAAGCTAGACAAGGAATTCTGTATCATTCCGCTAACACAAAGGGAGAGAAAAGCACATGAACATGATAAAAATCCAACCCCAAAATATTGTAATCCTAACCCACCAGTGCATTGAGGAACTATGTATCAGCCAAGGACTGGACAGAGCTACGCAATGAACCTCAGCTTGACTTCAGATCTGGAAGCAATAAACTGTTCTGAACGATAAAGTTTATGAGCGGGACAGCTCCTGTGAAACAAAAAGTCCTCATATTAAGAGACAATCCATGAAGAATGCTGAAAGTTGACATTTGCTAGTTTTTTGTTTAACTATCTTCCACGCCCACATGCCTCCGTCACTACAAACAGCTCCACGAACTTTTGTCAGGTGATGCCCAACTCTTCAAGGTTGTAGCACTGTCTCCTGAAGTGCTTTAAACCGAGACCTTCGCAATAATTTGAAGGAGCATTAAACTACCACAGATAAATAAGATCAAGCCTTAATAAGGCCACATGCATCTCATGGCTGAGACAGTTTGCCCTATATGGTCCACTCCACAGTATGATCTTCAATATTACATCTCTAGCATACTTCTCCCCGCCCCAAATCCCCAACATCTGACATCCTTTCACACTGATCTGGAAAAAAAAGTTAAGCTGCAGTTGCACAGACATTCTTACTGTTTTTTTTTTAAAAATAAGCATACCTATAGAAATCAAAGAAAGCTGCTATTCCAACTTGTTTGACTTAATGCCTCATCTGGATTCTTCACAAAGTGCTGGGACCAACAAAAGTAAAACTTCCAATTCAATACAGGTTAGCACTGACATTCAGATATTTCTCATAAATTAAGTCTTCGGTTTCCAGGCAAATTCTACTGGGTACACTGTGATCCTGTGCTGGACTGGAAATGGCATTTGCTCAGAAAACGGAGCAGCCAATACACGACACCCCAATAACCAAAGAAATTTTATTGCCAACGTCAGAAAAGAAAAAAAGTTGATTTGGGAACAAGTCCTATCTATCAAACCTCCAGTGAGAAAAAGAGGACACAAGTGGAAAACTGGTGCTGTTGGCTACCACTTCAGTCGAGTTTTTATACGAAGTCCGGTTAGCTTTAGCTACAGCCAGAACAAAGTTAACGGTCTAACGAGTAGAACTTCTAGCTACGCCACACATGTGGCACACCAGGCACTGCAATTAAAATCACACCCGATGTGCTTTCCCCCGAGGGCTGTGGAGTTCCCAGCACACTGCACTGAAATCAGCCTGGGCTGAAGGCTCTGGTTTCAGAGCAGGCGCCGAGCAGCGAGCGACAGGAAGCTGGGCTGTGTTAGAAGCGAGACGGAGAAGAGCATTATAAAGGGGAGGGGAAGTAAAACAGCTTCACACGCCCCAGTGTAGCGAGTGGTATTTAAACAGCTAGAAAGAATACCCAAGAACTAATGTTCTTTCAGGCAAGAGAGACCAGAGCTACATAAATATCTCAAATAACAAATGAAAACCCGGGATGTTTTACCTTACTGAAAAAAGCACACAAAATGCAGAACGCAAAGTCGACCACGCAGTCAAAAGAACAAGGAAACTTTCAATAAAAACAGATTTTAAGAAGCACTGAAGTCCACATATACACACAGTTTAGCCTGAAGTTCATCTGGTATCAGTATAAAACTGAAGTAAAAATTAAAGAACTTCATTAAGTAACTGGTGATACCAGAGAACCAAGGTGAAAATAAGGCTCTTCATTTCATCCTAGGGTTCAATTATGTGATATTTCAGGCAATACATTACATTATCACACCGTTTGCCTCTGAATTTCTTAAGAGTATCTATTAATTTATTCTTTAAAAAGAAAAAAAAAAAGCATATTAGCTGACAACACAAAGGACCAGGATACCTTGGTACAGTTTAGATACCCAGAAACAAGGCATAAACCACATTTAACTCAACCCATACACCCCCACAATCACTGTCAAATACCACATTTTATTATTTTTACAATCCAGGGGCCTATTTTTAGTACTACTTTTTCTTTTGCTACGACAAACCTGAAAAATCGACCAAATACACAATTAAATTTGCTACAGGTCAAAGACAGCGCAGAATCTTAAAACTGTCTCAAAAAAAAAATTAAATATTAAGCTCAAGTTCAAAATGAGTGGAAACATTAAGTGAATGCTTAGCTATCCAATTCTTGACTTAATGAAGACAGGGTACCCAAAGACAGCACAGAATCTTAAAACTGTCTCAAAAAAAAATAATTAAATATTAAGCTCAAGTTCAAAATGAGTGGAAACATTAAGTGAATGCTTAGCTATCCAATTCTTGACTTAATGAAGACAGGGTACCCACCAGAGGCCTACTCACCCGTTGTAAACATCAGATGCATCGAATTAAAAAGGCAAATGAAGCACACAGGTAAAAAAAACTTAGGTTAAGAAATACCGGAATGAAAAGCTTCAAGCCAATGAAGCAGATATTCAAAGAATCCCAGCTTTCATGTGGATTCATCAGGGTGTTGCCCTTTCTAGAATTCAATCATTTAAGCAGCAATTCCAGCAGATGCTGCACTGGTAGCTTTGTCAGTCCGTGTACAAAGCTACTTAGGCACAACAGTGACATACTTCCAACTCCGGAGAAACTATTTTGGGCTATCATTTGCTTGGCCAAACACCGAAGGAGAATTCCCGAATAAAAATATTCTAGTGTTGGTAAAGTTTATCTACATTCTAGATCTCAAACTAATGCCTAAAATAATAATTAACTGACAGCTCCCCCCACCGCCTTTTTTTATTCATATAATTAAAAACATGCCTTGCTGGCTTCAATCCAGCGATGAACAAACACACATTATGTGCTGCCTCAAGAATCAAAGCTCATAAAACAATGCTGCACGGAGCTGCAAAAAAATCACATGGCGTTAAGAGACTGCCGAAGCCTAGGAAAGAAATTCTTAACAAAACCAAACGACAACAATCTTGAGAGGGCAGAAATCTCGGACAATTCATACGAAACACTTAACTGTTTCTGACGATAACGGTAAGAAACAACACCCTCCCATTCTGCTCATCTCTCAACTCGTGGGAGTGGCTGACTTGCAGGCAAGTTTGATTCTGTGCACTCACGTGTGATTTACACCAGTGAAGTCTGATTACAACGGTCAGTCTGTTTTGCTCATGCCAGGGCGTAACACTCTTGCCATTTACTAGTTTGTCTAGCCTCATTCACACGAGTTCTTCTAAACATTTTAGTGAAGCACTCTAGAATTTACTGTAAACACACGTAAAACAGGGAGTGGCGTTCATTAAGGAGGCTCATGTTCTATTTTAATACACAGCACATCTACCATGCTCTTTCTTACACGATTAAGGCGACACAAGAAAATGGATGAAGTAGTTCAGTACTTTAAGAATTCATTCAGAGGAAACAAAGTTAAAAAAAAATCATAGGAGTAAATAAAATTAGTTTTGAACTGGCAAGAAGAGAGACTTCAGTCTTCTTACACATTACAAGAAAAATTCCTCATTCAATTGTGAGCCAGAATCAATATTTTTCAGCAAGAGCCAGATTCAATTCCGTTTCCTTAGCAAAGCAGTCAGTACCCAGCGTAGCCAACTTCACTCCTTCTCCCCCAATTTGTCAAACTTCTGCAAGCCTCAGAGGACTAAACGGAAAACTATTTTTTTCCAAAATACCTCGTTAACTTGAATTCCAAATACCATATCTGCCCTCAGGAATTTTTTTTTCTTCCAATCAAGTTTTCCCACTATAGGAAATATTTATTTTCCACCTAGCAGCATTTAAAAGACCCAACATGCCATTAAACCTGAATATATTCAAATATTTCCTCCAGCTTGGTAGGTTTGGTAGCATTAGCTGTTACTTGTTAGAAGAGTGGGTAAAAAAATATTTATGCAAAAGCAAGAATTTTGTAGTCTATTAAAAACTTTTACAGTCAAAAATTACACAGAAATTAGCCTGACACAGAAAGGCTGTGGGGCCTTAAGTGCTGCTCCAAACCTCCTCCTGAGGTCTGCAGAAAGTCTCCTACTGACTTCAGTGATCTTTGGATCTGTCCCAAAGCAGCTGCAGTAGCATAGGTAAGAGACAGCATCTGCTTTTTAAAGGTATGTTTTTTGCTGTAAAACAAAACCAGCTGTAAGTGATTCTGGTAACATTATTCTGATGAGACTAAGCAAGGTGTCTGACTTTAAAGGCCATACAGCTTCACAGTAACCATCACTGTCATTAGGGAATTCTAGCTTTCGGTATCAGTCTGTGGGACAACCACTTCAGGAAAAAGAAAGAAAAAAAAAAACAGAAATCAATTCTGAAAGCGATGCTTCTTCTGTACTCTATCTCATGGTGAAACCAAGGAGAGAAAAAAAGCTTCACTCCACTAGGCAGCACGCTGAATGCTTGCTGTACCAACAGGCAACCTAAGAGCCAATGAAGTAACCTGTTCACACTGCAAATTTCCATTAGTCTGCACCATTCACTGGCCAAAGGCTACCTTCTGAACTGTTCTAGAAGCAAAGACTCAACACCCAATTTAAATCGTCCTCCAAAACTTTATCATAGCACGACAGCAGAAATAAAGTTCTGTTCTTCAAAACAACAAAAAGCCACCATAACCGCCCACGTTTCCCTCCAGAGAAACGAACACGCTTTAAAATAAAGCAATACTGGATTTTTATCCTACCCACTTTCAGTTACACTCCTGTGACTACCTACATGCACAGAGATGAGAAATATTAGTAATTTCACATTATACATGCGGCCCATACTAGTAAGATCATAAACACAACAAAAATTTCTTTCAGTCACAACCATTTCCATCTTACCTTGCCTCCTTCTCTTTCAAAGTCAACATATTCCCGGGTCGGTGTCTGTCGCTGCTCCCCCTGCCAGCTGGCCGGAAAAAACTGGAGAGACAGATTGGTTCCTGTGGCCACAAAAGCCTTTTAGAAAAATCAATACAAACAGGATCAGGGAGCAAGACATTACATAAATTATGCAGGCAGTCATTTATTTTTACATCAGTTTATGTCTTAAGCCAGGCAGCACAGAGAATACTTAAAGTCAAAAACATGCACTCATCATTTTTCTTAAGTATTAAGTTACAAACATCTGATTCCATTTTGACAACATTTGCCATTGGCTGCTGCGGATATAAAATACAACATGGAATCAATACTTCTTTCAAATCAGTTTTGCTGACATTAGAATCTGTCCTTTCAGTTCTGTCTGGATATCCTGCACCGACTCGGTACTTGCAACATTAAAAATTGCCCACACTTTCTGAAGAGCCTGCCTACCTCTCAAAGTAGGACTGCTGAAGGAAAACGAAGTCCCGAGACCTGCTTCTAGGGACAATTTTTTTTTTGAAAGAGGAGGACTCGTTTCCTTCCACAATCTGAACTGAGATGTAAATATTCCTATTTTATTGTCTGCAGGCAAGAGGCAGCGACAGATAGCTCAATTAAACTTCACAGGATGAAGTCCTCTCGCCACATGAAGACACCAGTGAAATCCAGATCAGCAGATGCTGTGTCAGTGAGAAGAGACAACCATAGGCATTCTTCCCAGCTGCAGCCCTTTGTAAAATCATTAAAGGAGCTGACTTAATCATATTAGAAAAAGCAGACGTTGCTTTCAAGTAAGTAATTTTCTATGGTTTCAAACCAAAGTAAGATTCAGTCTTCTTTATAAACTCTCCGTATTTATTTCTATATCCTACCAACTCCAAGCCATGAAGAGTATGTCAATTTCTAGGTACAAATAAAAAAATATTTTTGCAAGTTGGATTCATGGTTTTTATATCCTTCTCTGGTACATGTGACCATGTCCTATAAGCATTGGATATATGCTCCCAGAATACAACTCTACTCAAAATCCCAGGGTTAAAGGTAATCTGTTGCAATCAAATAACTGTATCGATTGCCACCATCACTTAGATTTAAATGGTCATTAATCCAAAATACAGTCTTTCTTAAGAGCTATACAAATACTACTCTTAATAAGTGGAATTTTCCGACAAGCTGATTCCTTTCAAGCAACCCAGAACTCAGCAACTTCATGGTGTAACTGTACTGCTACCCATGACGTGACAGCTCTACGTGTTATTAAGACAGTTCGGGTCTCGTTCTGCAACGCTGTCACAGGATTAATACCTCCCATTTTGAAGGTAGAAATGCTTTGTCTTGACTTTTACCCCCTCTGTTAGAGAAGACTAATACTCTGCAATCAGGTTCCACTGCAGACTATTCTTAAAAGCAGATTTTTAATCTATTTTTTTAAAAAAATCTCCTATTAAGCACATTCACAACATCATTAAAATTGACAAAATTGGTCCTAGTAATACCAGGGAGGGATATCGCATTGGTACATTAATATTTATCTGCCCCACAATACGCAAAGATGAATATTTCCACATATTGGAAGCTCCATCGGAGGTACGCCCGCACAAATAGGAAGTGTGAAAACTGTGAGGGCTGCAGAACATCAGTATCAGGCTGCCTAGTCTGTGTTATCCCTTTGCTTTCCCAAGCGATTCTTTCCACAGATCAACGTACCTATCTCCAAATATTTCTGGCTCTTAAGCCATCACCACCTAAACTGTTCAAGAACTACCTTCCCACCTGTGAGCATCTGTAGCAAATCTGTGGTTCACGCTCCTCAATTCATACACCGAAAACAAAACGCCAAGGAGATCTTTGAGTGCAAAGCAGGTGAGCACTGCAGCCCCCCTGGATCACCCCAGTTTCTGCAGGCCCCCAGTCTCGACATGCCTCCAATTTTGCAGAAAGCTTATCAGGTAGTACAAGGGTGATCTGACCCACAGGCAGACAATGTAAATACAAGTACCTTCCAAACAAATAGGTAGTGAGGAAGTCTCTCCAGCCAAACTGAACACGTAAAGTTACTTTCAAGCTATCAAAGCAAATGGGTAATTATTTTCTTTACCCAAAAGTTATTTGACAGAAGTAACCAACAACCTGCATTAAATCCCCGAGCTGTTCTCTGGGTTTTTCTGCCTGCTTAAAAATATGTAAGGTCGTTCGCAAAGGCTCCCTTTGGAGATAAAAGAATAAATCCTTGATGTCTGGAAAAACATTCACGACTACTAAAAAAAAAAAAAGAGGAAAAATTGCTAGCTCTTTTTAACATCACTCATTACACACAATACATTTCTAAACAAACCTGACTACTTGCGCCCTGTTCACAAAACAAAACCAGATGTCGCAGATCAAGAAATTTAGAGGCTGTTTTATAATCAAGTAGAAGTAAAAATACGTAGAACAGGCATCACGGGTTGCTTCCAAGGGATGAAGTTCTGGCAGAGAAAGACAGCAGCAGGCTTAGAAGTACAAAGGTGAAACTACAGCGATTTCCCATTTATGTAAGTAACCACACAGGCTGCATTAGAAAGCTAGCTTATAAACTACACGTCCCTTTTTTTTCAATTATTATTTATTTTTTTCTTCAAGGAAGGACTCTGGTATACTATGCAGGATGTTTCACCTGTTCGGGAACATCAAATGCTAGCAAACTCCGTTTTCCTTACCTACCCATTGTTTCCCTGGTGACTTTTGAAAGAAAGGAAGCAAACACACGTATCGAAAAATGAATGTGAAAGAAAAAAAAAGTAAAATTAAGAGACTGACTACAGAGGGCCTCTGAAAATAATACTGCAGGGTCTAAGACCACAGATAACAAAGAGGGATAACACTCAGCTAAAATAAAGTTACGCAGCAGAAGATAACTGCATACTTGAGTGTATAACCTTTTACTCGCAAATGCAAACGAACTAGACCAGTTGCGGTAACTAGCATTCAATCGTGTTTGTTTGAATGTACATAAGAATAATTTCATCGTGCAAAAGAGTAATTTCACTGTGAACTGACCGGCAGCATCTGTACTATATGAAAGTGAAGAATCACCATAAATCCAACTTGGTGAGAATCAGAGTTATTTTTCTAAGGCAAGGGAATTTTTTACCTGGTCTGTAAATGTTAAAAAGGTTACTTCTGCATTTTAAGAACAGTGGAGAGTTAAGAACTTAGCAACAGCGCTACGAGACACTGATCCTACAGAAGGAACGAACACCAGAAACCAAACCAGGAAATAACCAGTCAGTTCTCGACTACTCCGAGCCGTGCTTCATCCCACTTCTCAATTCGGAAGAGAGCAGCCCGTCACTAACCTTAATGAATGAGGAAAACGGGGCTGAAGTTGCGAGTTTCAAAGCCTGATTTTAAAAAGCATCTGGCTGAACTCACAGATACATCAGACAGCTCAGCCCAGACTTTCTGCTAGCATCGCCCGAACAATTTTCTACTCCTTTCTGAGAGCTACTATTTCCGGAGGGGGGGGGAATAAAGAGCAAAAAAGAAGTTGAATACTGAACTAATCGGCTCAACACGTGCGGCAGGGCCGGCTGGCAGAGGGGATCCCCTCACCTCCCCCTCCAGC